CTTGCTGTGCTTCTAGTGATATGCGACTATCTGAGCATTTTGGACTAGAGGTTAAGTACTGGGACTCACCCCCTAATCAGGAGCATGACTGACCTCCTGCCCTGCATGTCCAGGGAAACTGGAAAGCCAGATGTTACAAGTGGCTGCAAGGGGACTGGTTAATGGAAATGCTGTTGGAGAGGAGGTGGTGGCTGACATTTCTGAGGCCTCCCTCAGAGGCAGAAACTGCACAGCAGCCCCTTTCCTCGACTTGCCTGAATTAGCTACTGGAGTGGGGAGGTAGATCTGCATAAGTTAGATGGTCCTAAATCAGGAACTTGGAATCGAACACCTCCAATGGGCGATACTCTGCTTAGTGTGTGTGTGGGGAGAGGGAGAGATGGGGGGAGTAGTGGATATTGCAGAACTGCTTATTTAACAATGCATGTATGTAACTGAGTATGCAAAAATATCATCATGATCGTGCATATAATTTTCCCATGAAGTTCTTCAATGGCTATATTCCTGGCTGTTCACATGGGCAAATCCTTAGCTTTTCAGTATTCATATTTCTCCTGAAAACGACCTTCTCATTATACCCACAAATATTAACCTACTTGTCTATCGTACCATTATCTTCTTAGTACTGCACCTACCCCTTAAGATAGGAGGGACTGTTTCTGCCTGTCAGTGCAGCACCTAGCACAGGGTAGGGCTCTGATGATCATCATCACATATGATAAACAGCAAAATTCCCAGTCAGTGATATTATTTATGCTTGCAATTTTTCCTGCACTTCTGACCATGTCACCTGCATCTAGCTGTGAAACAAGTCCCTGCTGAATCTAACTTCAATATTCCAAACCTCCAATAGCGGCCGTATTTCATGTAAATGACTCCAGAGAGAAATGCTTCCATCTTTCCTGCTGCTTTGCCAGTCCCACCGCCTATCTTCCTGCAGAATCGTACCTGATTAGTGCAACAGTGCACCAGGGAAGGCTTTAGGGTCCAGTATTCCATGACCCACTGGGCTTCACAGCAATAGGGAAAGAGAGAAATTTCAAGTTTTCCTGCACGATACAGTATTCACCTCTGGCCCTGGATGGTTTAATTCATGTCCAGATGGGATGAACTGAATAACTTTCCCTTGGCTTTGCTACTGGTATGTGCTGTGACTATTTCAAAGCCAGAGGGTTAAGCTGCCATCACACGTATAAACCCATCACATGTTCTTTCTATCACCCCATTTACCCTGAGGTTCCTCCAAGAGAACTGTCACATTTTGGTTCTTCAGACCTCCCAGGATGTTTTTGTCTAACATCATTGTCTTTTTAGACTCAGGAGTTCTTTGGAGAGAGAAGAATCTGTGGCTCTCCCCCTATTCTCCATATTTTGTATAACACTGAGACCACAGCCATCACGTAACTAATAATGAAGTAGCCTGAAGTGACCTTTAACTGGACTCTGTGTGCAATGGGAAGACAGTGCAGAGAATTGCACATCAGGTTGTCATGCTCAGGTTGACCAGTGATGCTGAGAAGTTTTGCTGCTCCATTGTGAAACAGGCTGGAGCTTCCTCAGGGCTTCCTTCATCCAGGAAGAAATCCAACAGTCTAACTGAGATAAAGCCAGGCCTGCATTTGATTGGATGAGGTGGATGCATTTAGCTGGCTGCAGTTGGTGAGCATATCTTGGGTGTCTTGGGGTGTATCTAAACAGCTGATTCATCTTAGGCTAATTCACCTGTTTCTTGGCTGCTTGTTCAGAGTCTTGCTGGTTTCTGCATAGCACTGCATTATGCAGTGGGTACCCACAGGTCCACAAGATGATCCTTTTTATCTAGTGCCTCAGAGGGGGCAGTCTTTTACTGCTAGGCTTTTGCCATTCTTTGCCTCAAGTTTCAGTTACACTGTTTGACTATCATTGCTCTACCATTTCTGTGTGCTGATGGACTTTGATAGGGAAGCCTGGGGTGGGTTGGATGAACTCTGTGACTCCCTTTGCAAGGAGGAGCCTTATAGTTTTACCGCTTCAAGACTGAACCCTGGGTCAGCACTGATGTTTCTTATCATGGCCATTTTCAGCAAGTCCAGAAAAACTCAAGCTCCTGTCAAAAACTCGTCTGTTTGGGGAGATCTGCATCCAGCAGATGTTCTGCAGCAACACAGGAAAGGCTTTCAAAATGAGACAGGGCCCTTAGAAGTCTGCACAGGAGAGCTAAATTTAGGTGCCTGTACCTGCTGGCAGCATGATCTGCTTCCAAGGCCCCAAACATCCAGAACTCCCTCTTCCCCCCTGCACTGTTCAGCAGAGTTGTTATCCCCATGTCCTTTCTCTTCTATTATTTGTCTCCTTGGCTGCCGTTCTCTTCCAGTGTGTTTCTGTGAGTAGTCTTTGATAGGGAAACCTGGGTTGGTGTGGATGAACTGTGTGGCTGATACCCACCTCCTGTTCTGGTGTCCCAGAAAAGAAATCCACCCATTGGGTCCTGGTATCTCACAATACAAAAGTGGGTAGGGAAAAGAAGAAACTTCTTTCATGCAAGTTATTAAGAAATTCCCCATATTTCCCCCAGTGTCCAAATATACAAAAGAGCCCGGAAGGGTTGCTAGCTTCTGCCTGATTCCACAATCTGGGGGCAGACTCTTTGTTGGAAGGGATGATTATGAGCTGACAAGTTGCTTCCCAGTAGGATTACTTCAGTCTTCTCTGGGTTCCATGTCCATAAGCTGCTCTTCCTCCAGAAACATCCAGATACCTTGGGGATGGAGTTCTTATCAGTTGACATAATGGAGATTCAGATCTGATGGAGATTCAGAGCTAGGTGGTGTCTTGCTAGCTGTCCTGGGGTCTTTGTGGCTTTACTGATGCATGTTTCTGGGAAGAAGCACTGATGCAACTCTACCTTTAGCAGGTGACAGGATGCTTAGCTGGCTTGAGAAGGTTGTGCCTCAGCCTCCTGAGACTGCCCATGTCCCAGGAGAAAAGGATGAAAAAAAAGAGGAACCCAAGGTAGTGATTGTGGAACCCCAGTCTGCAAAGGTGGAGCAGGTGAGTAGGGAGGAAGCAGCCCCAGGAGATGGGCTGACCACTGCCTTGATCACTGAGTCTGGGACAAGTGAGGACATTAAGTGTGTGATGCATATACACTAGCTCATCTGACCAGTTGATACTGATCAAACTAAGTCAACTGCAATTCTTGGTTGAACAGATGTCAGGGAGACGCTGGAGACTGGCTAAGAGAGATTAGCAGAGGGACTGCTGGTTAGGAGTGAGCTACTTTTGCAAATGGTGTTAGTGAGGCCTGTAGTCTGTGCCAGTGCCATAATGTGCAGTTGTGCTAACACCTTCATTCTCTTTCTTTCATGAACAAATTTTCTGGCTGCTTTGAAATATGACTACTTTGGTGTGAGCACTTGAACGCCTGGGTGTGAGACCTTGTGATCCAGGAAATGAAACTGACTGAAACCGGGACATGACCCTGTAGCTGGAGACACGTGAATGAGTGCTTGTATTGGTTTTCTTCAGTACCAATTGCAGGGCACAGGCTTAAAGAGAAACTGAGTGGCAACGACCTCTCTGTTTCCATGGTCTAACCTGAATGAACAGTAGAAAAGGAACAGAGAAGGCAGAAAGATCTCTGGATTTTAAAAATACTTTCAGTTTGGGTCAGCTCAGGTGGTGTCATCAGTAGCAAAGATAAGGACATTACAATATGTGACTTTTCACTTCAAGTTGTCCCTTCTGTGTTTTGACCTTTAAAGCCACCAAAAAGAGACACCAGAGCAGCAGAACCTCCCAAAAACAAAGGCACAGAAGGTGAGTCCCTGAAAACAGCATCCATGCAGAATGTAACTACCACACGTGATACTGTGAGAGTTGGTGGGAGTATCCATAGGTTAGCCAGTCAACCAAAGTGGAAAGGACCCTGGTGTCAGCGATTGGCTACTCATGTTTGGGAGTGGGAGTGTGTGGGTGAGATGTGCCTCTGGGAGCACTGGGGAAGCAATGCAGGTATATCCTGAGGAGCCTGTGCTAACATCCATATGCAAGAATAAAACTCTGCCAGTTGCCATCATAGCATGTCTCCACACAAAGACAAACAGAAGAGTGGCAGATCTGAACAGAGTATTTTAAAATGCTTTTTCTGGAGGTAGCTGTGGGTTGACCTGGATAAATGACACATGGTTACTTAGGTGAGTGTCATGGTTGGTCCTTCTTACACATGACCTTGCTTGACTTTCATTTAGGCATAGAGAAGAAAGTAGAACCTGCCATGACCCATGACCCAGGACCACCACCAGCATCTGCAGCGGAAAGGTTTTTGTCTATCATGTGTCCTTCCTGCTAGTTAGGAGTTGGGATTTAACATGCCAGCTGGTAAGGGACTTCAAACCAATGTGAATTCTGGCTCTATCTCAGAAACAGGCCTGTGGACAGATGTGGTGGTGGTAGGTGGGGAGATCCCTGTGGAAAGGGGTCCTTTGTTTCTAGCTTACATACAGAAAGGAGTTGGCTGCCTCTGTGGCACCTCCCTAGCCAATGGAATACCTACCATTGGTTCCTGAGCCCATATGGGTGCAAGGATTGGAGAAGGGAGTGGGTAGGTTAAGGGCAGAGCCAAAGGTTCACATGCTGTTCCCCACTGAGCCATCTGGAGCTGACTAGGAAAGTCTGGAACTTCATTAATTTTACTGTGGAGCCCACTCTGCAACAGGAAATACCCATTCAGGAGCCTGTGGTAGAGTAGTTCCCCTGGAATTGGGAAGGGGCAGGTGGAGCTCACCCTGGTCTCCTCCAGGTTTCACAAGAACCACAACGTTTCTAGAGGATTCTGCTGCCCTCACGCTGCTGATGGACTGATACAGGGAGCCTTCACAAGGAGAACCCTGTGGGATGATTTGGTCCCTGGGGTTCACCTCACCAGGTGTATTTGAGCCCTTCCATTCTCTTGCAGCACTGGAGGAACTGTCCTCTCCTGGCTGTCTCAGGGGCTGGAAAAGTTCGTTCCTCAACCAGCAGAAAGAGTGCAGAGCCTTGGGAGGAGCTTTGAGACCAGTTTGGATATCCTTCAGCAGGTAGGTCACACAACCTGTGGAATCAGTCAGCAGAGGAGTCTGGTGTTCATGCATTGATTTCTGTCATGAGAAGACCAAAAACGGTCTTTACCGTTTTTGCTGGTGGTTTTAATTGTGTTTTGTGTGTGCACACTTTGCAGGCTGAAGTCCCACCTGTCCAGGAGCTGGATGTTGTCATACAAGGTAAAATTATGAATGATACCATCATATTGATGCCAAACTCCTTGGGATCTTTATTTCCCACAGATCCCAAAGCACTGTGCAGAGCAGGCCAGTGTAATTTACTGAACCACATGAAGGCAAAGCAGCTTCCCTGAGCAAGTCCAGTTGCAGATTTAGGCACAAAACCCAGGATTCCTGAGTGCCTGTCCAATGCTCTCTTCAGTTGGACACCCCTCCTAATATAGATGTGTGAACAGAGTGACATAGCTTCTTCTGTATCATCAAAGGCTCCCTAAAAGGGAGCAACTTTCTGTCTTCTTCTTGGGACAACCAGGATGTGCTCAGTCAGGAGAGAAGTTGTCACCTTGCTGCTCTGTCAGTGCTGGGAGTGACTGTATTGTTTTCAGAATGCTCCAGCATATCTTTAATCTTCTCTTGTCTGTTCTGTTTGTGATTCCTCAAAGCAGTTCCAGGGGCTGATCCCAAGTGCTCACAGTGTCTGTGTGTGTAAGAGAGAGAGAGAAGATCTTCCATTTTCATGCCTTGCAAATGTAACTGGCACTGAGCTCTCTGTAGTAATGGGAGACACAAAGCTGTCTTTTGCCTTCCCATCCAGTACCACTTCCAAAGGAGGACAAGTCACTGCCTAACCTTTCTCAACAAGTTGTAGGACTGGGAGAAGAATTCCCCAGGCTTTTGGGTCCTCGTAGCCATTTCCTTGCTTGATTCCCCTGATTAAAGTCCAGTTTTAAGGTCACTGTTGGGGAAAGCAAAATATAAGATTAGTCAGCAAGCTCTTTACAGTCCTGTATTTAGCAGACCTCTGTGAGACGGTTAACTCTCCACATACTGTCTTTCCCCCTCAAGAGCCTCCTGCACCCAAACCAGAGGAAAAGGAGCCTCAAGATTCTAAAGAGTTGCAATCCAGCTCAGAGCAAACGTAGGTTCTCCCAGCAGTGTAGAGATACCTGTGTAGCATCGCAGTGCTTGTAGACCTAGTTGCTGTCCCTTTATTTCAAGTAAAGTGATGTTAACCACTAGAATGCCAATCTAATAGAAAACCCCATGCTGGATTACCATTTGTTTTCTTGACTATCAGCCAGGTTGGATTTAAGATGACTGTGACAGCCATACTGCTGGGGGGAGAGAGCACGGGTGTTGCTCTGAAAGATAATAAAGATGTTGACTGAAAGATCTACTTTTTTATTTACTGAACTCTGTCTCTGGTTATAAGAGAGGATGGTCCTACTATATAGGTTTGAGCCCCAAGGGCTGAATGGATACAGAGTCTTGACTCCACTCTGAATGCATAAAGGGATAATCTCTCTGGGTATGTATGTGCTACATCCCCTGTACGTAAAGGGTGCCCACCCATTCCTGCTCTCTGGAGATAGAGGTCCCAAAAGACATAATGAGGAGGAGTCCCTGGAGCAGCTTCACCACTGCATTTCCAGGTGTGTTGTGTGAGTGGCATGTACTCACCAGCAGTCCTTTGTGAGAGTGCTGGAGATGTAATTTAGACACAGCCAGAAGTTAGTACTAGGATCCTGGCTGACAAAGGGTGTCTTTCTTCACAGCACTAAGGAGGATGCATTTTTTTTAAATGGCTGAGCTTCAAATACTTGTAGTAGTGTCTTACCTCCAGCTCTCTGACTGTCACCCTTCAGTGGTGTATGTCATCACTGAGGCTGTACTTTTCTAACCTTGCTAGTCCTATCCTGTAGGCTTGACATTGTTCTGCCCTCCTCCTTGAGCAGCGAATGTAATGAGATACAAGCAGGCAGCAGGGCTACAGGATCAGAAAGGGGACGTTGGAGAACTGGTAACAGTTCCCTCATGGTGGAGGAGGAAGAAGTGAGCTATGCCCATTTTTTCTCTTTAGTTTAGTTTACTCCAGTAGGAGAGGCTTCATGTAGCCCATAGCTCTTCAGTAGCAGGCTTGGCCAACCTTCCTAAAGAACCTCAGAGAGTTCAGACCTCTACCTCCCTTAGGCCACAAGCCCAACCTTTGGCATTTCCCATCCTCACATATCAGGGTGGGCATTGCTTGACAGATAAAGAGAACTTTTGCGATTTGCTCTAGATCACAAGACCTTTACTCAAGATCTGTTAGTGCCAGAGTTGGGAATTGAACTGGGTTGTCTGGTTTCCTAGTTCATTATTCACTGGATAGCACTGTCTCCATTCTTACACCTGCCTATCTGAACCTTCACCAAAGTTTCTGCACCCTTAGTTCTACAAAAAAGGGTGGAGACGTCACAAGAATGGGCTTTTCCCTAATTTTTTCACTACTAGTCAATGTCAACTCAGCAACAATGAGATAGAGACTACTTATTATTAATAACTATTAACGCTCAAGAGAGGTTTAAGTAGCTAACCAGGAGCTGTGGCAGTTCAGACTCCAGCTGCAAAGCATTTACCCAGGATACTGGTGGGCTCATACAGCCCACTTTGAAGCCTGTGTTTCTGTAGCCAGTGTGCTACCATGAAGCGCAGTCTCACTCCTGACTCCAGTTTTAGATAGAGCTTCTGCATTCTGGCTCTGAGTTGTGTGTGTTGAAGGCAAATTCTATCCCTTCCTCCCTACACATTGAATGGACCGTGGTTCTGAGGGTTAGCCCTGAATATGTTCATTTGTCTCTGAGCATAATTCACCAAGGGCAGCAGAGGAAAGGAAAGTGGGTCCACTATGGTTGTAGTGAGGATGTAGGGAGAGCTGTTATGACTGTGTGTGTTCTCTTTCTGCAGGTTTGGAAGCGGAGTCATTAACTGGCTAGTGCAGGGTTTTGAGAAAATGGTACCTCAGCCAGAGAAAAAGCCTGAGGTGGGTGCAGCAAAGATCAAGAATGTGCTTAGTTACTGTAGCACAAGTTATGTCTGAATACAGGCTCAGGAGTTTACTGGGTACTAGAGTATGGAGGCATCATTCCCTTCCATAGACTCAAAGGGAAATAAAAATATGTGCAGCTACTCACTTAGAACCATGGCACTGCAGGATGGTTACCATGTTGCAGATCCTATTTCCCTCTTAGGTGTCCAAGTGGAATTCTATTCTAACCTGCTTGAGTGCCTGAAATACATTACCACATCCACTTTTTCCCATCAGAACTCTAAGACTAATTCACAAAAGCTGTGAGAAGGTAGAGGTGGGGGAGAACTCATTCAGCTTTTGCATTAGCATGTTTTTTTAGCCACTCCAGCAGGCTGGAATCAAAGGACCCTTGGGCACCTAATAGATGAATTGGGATCCAGCCCAAAATGTTTTCTTGTTTAAGATTATTGAAACACAGGAGGAAGGAGGAAATGGGAAGGGCAAAGGACTGCAGGTCTGAGCTCTTAGCAATTGTAGGAGCTGGCTCACCTCATCTTAATGAATCTTCCATACTTACAGAAAAAATTTTCTCAGCCCCAGATCGGATCCAGAATTTTCTGCAGGTGAAACTTCCATGGTAGTGGAAGAGCTCAGGATCTTTTCTCCATGGAAGCAGAAATCAGTGGTATTAAGTATCTGGTCCATTCCTGCCCATGACTTGTGTCAGTGCCATGTTACTCATTTTATTTTTGTTCAAATGTACCTAATGTGGAATCTGCTAGCACCTTGGGGAGAGAATTCCAAACATTTTCACTCTTGAAGATGCACAAGGCTACTGTTACTTGGTTCAAACAGATGCATATTCAAGTCTAAATGATCCTTTTTGAGGACTTGTTCACTGTAATAAAAATTAAGTAATCCTTCTTAATTCCCTCTTCTCTAAACCTTCGTAAGCTTAAGGACTTCTCCTTATATCATGATAGAGACCCTTGATACTGTTGATCAGTTTAGCAACATATTTCTTAAAATTTCCTGATTACTCCCTTGCAAAAATGTTTTGTTTTAAAAACACTGGGTTTTCTGAAGCTGCAAAAATTATGGTGTGGGATAGCTCTCTCCACAGATCTGTCAGACAACAGGTAATCAAGGAGTGGCATATTCAGTGCGTAGTCTAACATACAGACACACACCTACACACATATGCACAAGTGCTCTAACCCTTAAAAATGTTAGTATCCTTTTGAGTGAAACTAGTCCACCCACAGTTTTCCCACTGTGAATCTTACTAACTGTCAGTTTGGGTGATTTGCAAAAAGCTGTTTTCTAAGGGAGCTGTTACATATTAAAGTAGCTTTATTTAAATAATTAAATATTATGTTGTTGAAAAGTGAGGTCTCAGTAACATTTTATACTGAGGCTTTTATAATGCTCAATCTATTTCACTTTTCGAAGAGGAGCTTAAGAAGCAATTGGATCATGGTTTGTAAAAACCTACAGGGGAAGAGAGAGTTGAGATTAAGGCACCATTTGATCAAGTTGATCAAAATAACAGCAAGATCCAAACAGCTGGCATTAAAGTGAGAAACATTCCAATCAGAAATGTATTTCCTAACAGTGAGGGGACTAACCATTGGAACAGCTCACCAAGGCATGCAATAAATGCACTGTCACTTGGAGCCTTTAACTCAAGTTGGATGTTGTTCTGGGAGATAGGTTGCAGTTCAGCTACAGGCTGCTGATCTTAATAGCCTCCAATTATACAGGAGGGCAGAAAATGTCCTCTTACCACAGGTTTTATTGGGTGGAATTCCATGGCATAGGTTATGAAAGAGTCAGGCTGGACAAGCACATTGGTCCCTTATGACTCTCTATGAAAAGTCTCTATTTAAAATCACTGGTGACTGGAGTCCTTTGCCTTTTCTTCTCTGGCTCCGTAGGTGTTATGAAAATACAAATGATAAAAACAGTATCAGTGCTAGGTTCACAAACTGTCCATCCCAATAAGGAAGGGCTGCTTCTAGGAGAGAGAAGGGTGTTCAGAGGGGCATTGGTACCTGTTCAATCCTTAAGCCTTCCATTGGGGGTCTCTATGAGAAGGTCAGTTAGTACTGTGATAGTAATGCCTTTCTCCCAATTCAGGTCTGTGCTCAGCAGCCTGTTTTATGTCAACCTGCAAACAGCTGTCAGGTAAGAATGGGTTCCAGTTACTATAGACCCATTTCTTATCTGGACCCATGAGTGAGGCATGGTGACCTCCGCCAGCAACTTCTTCTGTCACCCCAATCTCCATTGTGCTACTTTTTAGAATGGCTTAAGTAGCTGTATTTGTGTACAGTGCTAGGTGAAGAATAACCTCTTCAAAATAGTTTCTAGCCCAAGTCCCTAGTAATGAAAAATGAGAAAATAGATATAAATATAAGATGTAGCACTGATATTTGTCTCATTGTTATTCTTTTTCAGACCTTTTCCTGAGGCATCAATGAATATTTTACTACAGCTGTGTTGACTTTCTAGCTGCTCAGCTGCTGCAAAGGCTGTTATAGTTTCTTGGGCCTGGTCCTCACAATAAACTAGGTCATATTAGAATATGAGCTGGAGGAGTCATGTAAACTAACACAATATTAATACAACTTTTAGTAAGAGTAGATGGGGACAAGTTGTATCAACTGCTTGCTGGTAACCCTAGAGTTCCAGGAGGATTTATTCATAATGTTGACTATCATAATCCATGTCTACATGGATTACTAAATTGTACTGAACTTTTTGTTAGCTTGCACAACTGCTCAAGGTTGTTGTCCCTTTTGATCCAATTTTCTCATGCAGACCAGCCTACAGAGATGTTTCCCTCATTTTTTGTTTTCAAAGCAGTTTCTTAGACTACTTTTAAAAAAATTAAAGACAAATTCTGCATTTAAAGAACACCCAGCTTCTGACTCATAGTGATCAAGGTCCAATATTAAGTTAAATAGCTCAAGACATGGTAAGGGCAGCAGGCTTAAAGCATGATAATACAGCATGGTTTGTAAAGTCTTATGCTGTTCAGCAAATCTCCTAACATATGGACATTCAGTAGTCAGATAAATATAGGGAGAATCTTAGCTTTGTGCTTCCTGGCACTTGGGATGCAGATAATAATGTTCTTAAGAAAACAACCAATGAATGTGTAGAACGTCATTCGACAGATAAAGGCTTGATCCTGAGAAGTGCTGAATACCCTTAACAGGCACTGGTGCCAGTAGAAGTTATATGGACTCACATGGCATCTTTCAGGATCAGGCCCTTAGAGCAGCACCAGCAAGGCTTTCTTACATATTTAATCTGGGCATCTAATAGGAACCGTTTCCAAGTTTCCATGCTCACAATGTTAACATTATAAGGGTTCTCCTAGTGTGTCACATACTACATCATCACTGTTATTGCCCCCACCAGTTGCCAGTGGACCAGCATTAATGCTCTACTTGTTGTTAGTGAAGCTGCGCTGAAATGGGAGATATCTCAGGTCCATTGTAATGACAGCGTCTCTGGTCCTGCTTAGGCAAGATCCACATTTGGCTTAAACAAAGCTCCTACTAACCCAGTTTTTATAATTACTGTTGTTTTACACTAGGTCCTAGAAGCCTCATGTGAAATCCATTGTGTTCTGTAGTGTACACGCATACAAAAAGACAGCCCTCACCCTTAGGGATATAAATATAAATAGGCAAGACAGAGTGGGACAGAAAGCAAGCACTGGTCTCCATCTTATCAGTAGGGAACTGAACCAGTGGCCGTGTCTATATGAGATGCTGACTGTGCAGTCATTGCTGTGCATGGTCATTTAGTACTTGTATAAACAAGTACTGAATGACTGCACAGTAACTGGAGTTACCATGCAGCAGTGCTGAGGAATGGCTTTTTTGTGATGCTGACTGCACAGTAGCTTGTGACTACTGCACACTAGCATCACGTCATGGTTCCTGCCATGTGATGCTACTGTGCAGTAGTCACAGGCTGCTGTGCAGTCAGCATCTCACATAGACATAGCCAGTGAGACTCAGTGGATTACCTTGGGTTAACAGGAGATTGGAGTAGAGCTGAGAAGTGAACCCAGATCTCTCAAGAGCTAGTAAAGTGTTTTGAAAACAAGACTATCCATTTTCTATAGAAACTGCACACAGGGCCATATTTGCTGCCTTGAAATGGCTGAGGCTCTCAAAGCTTTTTAGTGCACAGACTGCCATCCAGGGCTCTGCTTCTTCCTCCCACAAGCTAAACCGTCTGGTTTCTGTATATGGCACCAGTGCTACTCAGGGTGAAATTGCTTTCCTTCTGTCACAGCTCAAACATAAGGCTTTTGCTTATTTAAAGTAACTGAATAATAAACCCTCTGTAGTGTCATTTTTGTTTTCAATGCAGAGCAAACTTGAGTGCTTGCATCACAGAGTCTTCCTGGTTAATTCTTAAAGGAAGAGTAGGTCAAGAAGGGATGGCTTGGTAGGCAAATAAAGAACCAATTCTCCTTTGATCCTTTATTGGATTGACCCTGGAGTGTTTTCCTGCTGCTCTTGAAAGAGCCTAGCCTATTGATGCTGAACGTTGTCCTGAAAGGACCAGGGCAGGGAGAATGACTTTTCAACATACAAACAGCTTTAGGATTGAAAATAAACAGATTTCTATCGAAAGGCAGGATTCTGTTGCGGAAGCATCTTTAGCTCAAGTAGGGTATGTTCACTTCAAAGTGAGCAAGAAACACTGCCATTCCAGTTCGGTCAGCAAAAGTTCAAAGAGAAACATATTCCTTCTTTTCCTGTGTTTTGGTCTTTTTAGCCACAGATCTCTTAAGGGAGGAAATACAGAGGATATTCTGTTGAGAGCATTTTGGGAGGTGGGGGGTGCAAAACAAATCACTTTTTTGTTTTAATCCCCATCCTCATCCTCACAACTGCTCAGTTCTACCATTGCACACAGGACTCACTCAATAGAACAACATGGGCGTTAGATCTGTATAGGATCAGAATTGGCATTATTCATAGAGACCAAACATTTCCAGTAGCGTTACCACCAATTCATGTGAAGCAGACAAGACCAGGACATCTAGCTGTTGTGCTCAGTGTAAAGAAAAGGGACAGTTTTGATTGCTCTGCAGGATTTTCAGGCTGCCATACCCCCTTGTGACTGTTTAAGATGTATTACATTTTGCCAGGATAATTTTTTTTAATCTCTCTCCATTATGTACTTCCCCTTTGATATCAGAAGGCAGCACTGGGGAAAGTAGATCTGGATTGTGACATTAACAAGTGCTGGGCAGTCAAGTCACTCCCTCCAATTTGTCCATTTTGTACATGTTGGCTCTCATTCCTCTGCCAGTATCTCTGCTGTCAGGCTAAGGCTCAGAAGGATAGATGCAGGTGGGGGTGGGGGCTGCTATTGACTACATCTTCATTTGAATTCAGGAGTCAGTGTGTAAATGGATTTCTTATGTGTCTGTGTAACAGGAAGCAAAGGAAAAGAAGCCTGAGGAGACTGCCAAAATAGAAGGTGAGTGATTTCTTTTGGGAAAAGTGGATGTGCCTGACTGTCATCCTTTCTGAAGAGGATACAAACTTTGCTGCCTGAAGTCTGCTAAGAGTCAAGACCCTTCACAAGCACTCTCATTAAGCACTTCCCCTCTTCATCTCAGTCTTGGAGCCTTGAAGCTGCATTTCAGTGAAAAGCAGTAGAAGACTTTTACTAGTGCTGTGGAGATCCAGTGTGTGTGGCAGCCCTGTGCTCGTTGATGGGCTAGTACCCACCCTTGCACTCATGGGAAATTTGTACTGCTACAGTGATGAGTTAGTGCTTTCTTGTAGCAAACCTGCCCTGATGCCTTAAGAACACAGAGGAGGAAATCAGGTGTGTTCTTCATTGGAAAGTTTTACAAAATTGAACAAAAAGGGCAATCCTGTCCCTCAGTGCTCTGGGGCACTTTGTTTCACCTTCTGAAACATCTCTGTATGCTTTAAAAGGTCAAGTCAAAACTGTACCTAGACCTCTGTATGTTGTGGTTGTTAATTTCAAAAGCCTCCTATCTCTTAATTCTTTTCCACAGAAGGGTGGTTTTAACTAGAGTTCAAAATGGTGGTGGTCATCTGGGAGCCCTGGAACAGAAACATGACTGCCCCAGTGCTGACACTGGCATGTCTGGTCATGTACTTTGGAAGCTCATCAAGACTGTAGCTATTTTTTTCCCCTGTGTTTTGTACAGCACCTGGCACAATACATCTGACTGGGGTCACTAAGTGGGACTAGAATAGAAAAGAAAGATCGTATACACTCAGAGGGCTACTAGCAGGTGACTGAGTCTTACAGGACTGACTTTTAAATCTGGGGTTCATATAGGGAAAAGTTCTCCCCTCTGCTGGGTATGGGCCTGTGACTATA